AAAGGGTGGAAAATCACACTTTAATGTGTTGTACTTAGAAATTCATGGAAAATTAATTTCTTGAAAAATTTTGTCAATCAAACAGGCCAAAAGTGGAAGTTGAAATTTGAATGACTTCTAGAGACTTTTATAAAAGTCTCTAGAGTATTAATTTTTAAACAAAAAGTACTCATATAAAATTTTAAAATTTGTCTATCATTAATCACGAGATTTTGGTAGACTTTCACAAAAATAAAAAAATAAAAATCAATTTTTCTTTCCTTTAACATTCTATGGACATATATGATTAAAATTTATTTTTTTTATTGATTATATGTCATTTATCTTTTTTTTTTCTTCCTTTTATTATTTATCTCTATTTTCTGTGAAAAAGTTTAGATTCTTGTAATTTTTTTTCTTTTTTCATTCATTTTTTGTGAAAAATATCTATTTTTAATTAAATTATAAAAATTTATTGAAAAAATTATAATTAAATTTAAATAGATTGATTTTTATTTATTTTAAAAGTTACTATACTAATGATATTGAATAGTTTATATATATATAATTTTGATTATTATTTATTTAATTAAGGTTTAAAATTTTTTTTTTCAAATTTTTTTTATTATATGGGAAGAAGAAGGGGAATTGTGGGAACTAACACCCCATATGTAAGAATTTCACATCAGGTTTACATGAATTCTATTGCAAATAAAAATCTTCAAAAATCTTTTAAATTCCACGAAAGTCTATAAAAGTTTTAAAATGAAAATTTATAAACGTTTATGAAAGACTTCCACTAATCCCATACAAATCTATAAAATATTTACGAAATCTACAAAAGTCATCATTTAAAAAAAAGTCCATCAAAATTTTCAAAAATCTCAATTGAATACACCCCTCTAAATTAAAGTTTTATGAACCAAATTAACACAAATTGAAGTTCAATATTCCAATTGAATTTTCATTAAATATACAGTTATCACGTGAAATTTACCCAAAATTTTTCTGGCAATTGAGCTTTAGATTATTATTTAAACAAAACTTTGTTCTTTGCTTTTAAAATCTTGTCTAATATGTCTCATAATCAACGAAAGTAGTAGTTTCACAATAATTATAATTAGGGTCTATTTGATTGCGAAGATGGAATTTTGGTGGAAAGAAAATGAATTTCAGGGAATTGAATTACCTAGAAATTGTTTTCCCGGGAATTGTAAATTATTATGTTTGATTAGTATAATTTTTTACGTGGAAAATGTTGAAGTAAAAGTATTTTTTGGTGTTCGTTTGGCTTTGTTTTACAAGAAAATTGTCAATTTAATGGATATCCACTTCTATCATTGTTCCTAAAATTTGTTTCCATTGCCAATAAAAAAAAAAGAAAAAAAGATCAAAAAATCATTTATATTTTGATGTTCGTTTGGTTTTATTTTACATGAAAATTGTCAATTTTAGGGATATCTTATTTTACAATTATTCCTAAAATTTGTTCCCATTGCCAACAATTAAAAAAAAACAATAAGCAAAAAAAAAAAAAAAAAAAAAAAAAAAAAAATTATTTTACAATTATTCCTAAAATTTGTTCCCATTGCCAACAATTAAAAAAAAATAAAAAAAGCAAAAAAAAAATAAAATAAAAATAAGGTGGAAAACCAAAAACCACCCATCCCCTAAGAAAAAAAAGGTGGAAAATCACACTTTAATGTGTTGTACTTAGAAATTCATGGAAAATTAATTTCTTGAAAAATTTTGTCAATCAAACAGGCCAAAAGTGGAAGTTGAAATTCGAATTCCAAGTTCCATGAAAAATTTCGTGCAATCAAACGGGGCCTTAGTTCAATAAATAAAAACGATTTAAATTGGGTTTAAATGTGTGAACACTGAATAGTTCATGAACTTTATCCCATTTCCAAAAGCATAGATAGACTCGACTTTATATCAAAAGCACACATGAACTCACAAACTTATATCCCATCTATACATGAAGTGACTTCCATTATACACAACTAAAACAATTCACGTGGCAAGTAGAGTAGTCACGTGATAATGATGTGATAGACACTTGACAAGTTAATTTCGCAAACAATGCATGAATTTTACCTCATATCAAAACCATACTCAGATTTTATTCCATGTATCAAAATCATACATAAACTCAACTTTGTATAAAAAATATACATGGACTCAAAACTTTATATTCCATCCATACATAAATTAACTTCCATCTGTCCAAATTAACTGACAATCCACGTTACAAATGGAATACCTAATTTCATTTGTATTTTATTATCCTCGTCCTAAATAAGTATGAAGTACTACTCAAATTTTCATAGAGAAAAACTAATAGAGTCTACTTACTACTACTCATCTTTGAAAAACTGATACTAACACTGACTTTAATCGAATCTATAAGTGTGTTCATTTTCCATGAACAATCGTATGCATTTCTCCTTTCCTCATTAACATAGCATCATTATATTTGCTACGAGAGTCGTTGATTTCAAGCAGTTTTTTGTAGTTTATCACACGGATGTTCAATTACTATTGAAAGACGAAAAGTTATTTTTTTTATGCATGAATAAGATACAAATTTCTAGGTCCACGTATGATTTTGATTCAAACCTAAGTTCATGTATGGTTTCGATACATGGGTTAAAGTTTATGCATGATTTTGATAAATAAGGTAAAGTTTACATACCGTTTACATATAATGTTTGTCAAGTGTTTGCCACGTCATTGTGATATAGGTGTTGGGAATCTACTTATCATGCGTAGCGGAAATAAAACAATTTTTCAATTCTCACCAAAAATTGTGTTTGTGTTTAGATAGAAATTGTGATAAAGATTGTACATTTTACAAGATTTGCAAACGCTTTTGCTTTTCTTTCGTTCCAACGATCTTGATTCGCCACACAGAGCTATCCAATTGTCTACCCTCCAACGGTGATCCGCACAGAGAATAATTTTGTAGGATTAGGGTTTTCTTAACAAGATTGTAGGATTAATATTTTCTTCTTGTGCTAGCAAGAATAATAAAATTCTTTACAAAATTGTAAGCCCCAATCATTTATTTATATAAGCCCAAACGGGTTTGGTCTAACCTGGTCCAATGTTTAATTAATCCATTTAATTGAATCCGGTCCATGAATTAATTAATTCGAATCTATAAATAACCAACCCAATTAATTATTTATCCAACGATTGTTAAATTAATTAATTGACAAATTGCAATTTTTCAATTCTCTTTTGTGTGCGACCAATTATATTCTCGATCACGATGCCTAACGACGTGAAATATTATTTTGATCTAATCAAATTGATAAATTAAAACACAATTTTAATTTATTATCAATTCACACTCGTCGTCCAAAATTGACATCTTACAATGTATCAGGGTAATATATGTGACAGGAAATGTCACGTGGTATGACAAAATCAAATTCGTTCGTTTACCGTGAAACTATAATCCTTTCATCAATATGATCTGATCAATTACGAGATATGAAAGTGTGTCAATTTCGATTATTGATCATATCTTTCACTCCACTATTAAGTCAATATAAGTTAAAAACTCATTTTCGACTTATAAGTACACCTTGGTCAATTATTTCGTTATCGACTTAATTAAATGAAATGCAGACTATAATCCCTTACTATCTAATAGTGACGAATCATTTATTGGTCATTCACAACCTTCATACGATTCTTGACATACCCGAATAATGTCGTATTAGCGGCCTTTGGTGGAGCAACATTCAACACCATCAAAGCATGATTGTCATCGTATAAAGTACTATGACGACCTCAAGTCAAAGAACCAATCCCACTACCGAACGTTAGAGATTAACCACTGACACTCAATTAGTTATCCATGTGGAATCTCTAGGCTGGTCTCCAAAGTTTTGTTATATAACAAAACATTCACGTGTTCATTCAAGTGTCACCACACTTTAACCTATAAGATTAGCTACTTACTTTACAAGTAAGAAATGACACATGTGATAGTCTATTCATAATAACGATATTCGTATCTCGTTATTACTTACGACCATAAATGATTTAAAATTTAATTATATGTAATTTGTATCTTACAATCACAACTCCCTATGATTAATAAATTATGGAGATTTGAATCTACAGACTCTATTATTTAATTTAATTGTACATTAATTAAATAATACATTTGCCATTAAATTGTATTAATTATATATTAAAAGTATTTATATCCAAGGTTGATTGGACCTATGGTATAAAACTTACAATAGGTACTCTGTTTCCCATATGAACTATTTTCGTTTAATTTTGACCGATGAAAGTTAATTCACGTATTGATACAATTTTATGAGCTCATTTATGATTTTGATACAAAATTGAGTTAATGTAAAGTTTTGATGCATCACACGAGGTAAAGTTCATATTAGCTTTGTAACTTTGTTCAAATGACAAATGATTTCGTTTTGATCTAATGCATCTCTTGCATTTTGCCCCCTTAATTTTTTTCCTCATTTCCTACTCTAGAATATTAGAAACCTCCATTTGTTGCACTCTACAAGTTCGACATGATGATTAGAAAATATTGAATAATATTAAATAATAAAATAAAATTAAAAACCTTGTTTATCTCTCTAGATGCAGTAGTTCAATAATTACATGTCAAGTATACCTTCCTTCGTATTTAAAAAGCATATAATTGAGAAAAATTGGGTGCAATCTACGAAATTCAACGTTTGAAGGATCCTAAAGGTAAAATCCACGAACTTTAGGGTGTAAAAAGAACAAAATGCTATTATTGACGGTAACAGGTGCCTTTGCATGGGCTTAGAGGTCACACACAATGGAGAGGTGGGTAAGTATTTTTTTGGTAATAATTTCACCTCCATGTGAGTATTAATTTCAGTCAAACTACACTTACATAAAATAAATGTACAGAATCGATACAGAATACACCCATATAGAAATGAGTGATTATTTTTCGTAATCTTTTAATTTACAGGGTCCGTCCCCATGTAGTGTCTGTAAGCCTTCTGCATTTTATTTTTTGTACAATCGGCATTTTTCTATTAATTTTCGCGTAAAACATTACTCTGTACGCACTGATTAATTGAAAAGCAAATCGAGAGGCCTACTATAATATTCAATCTGTACAACGAATCCCGTTGACTTGCTGGGATTAATTGTGAGATAACTGCAGAATCTACTACCCTCTTCTCTGTAATCTAAGATTATTTGCAATTGTATATGTTTTTTTCTTGGATCAAAACCAGCTCAGGAACAGGGAGGAAGTTACCATTTTTGTTCTGCAATCTGTAAGTTACCATATGATTCTTGATGTATTTATGCATTATTAGATACGTACACACACAATAATTCACTCTTGTGATAATCATTTCAGATTTAATAGTTGTTTTGTAAAATAAAATGCCAGCTATTAGGGTTTGTATTCTTGATTTGCCAGCCATTCATTTCATTCATATCTGTAGATCCAACTGAACCATATTGACTATTGGGATTGGTCAATCATTCTCAAATTTTTTAGCGTTGGCCTTATTCTGCAAATCGTTTTTGCTAATTCAGATTAATTTTTTTCGTTCTCAATAAGGGAGCCAAGAAAATGCCTCTAGGGGAGCTCTTTCTTTCACCATTCATTGAAGTACTGTTTATGCAATTAACTTCACGTCCGGTGTTGGCCTTCACCCACTGGGAGAGAATTGAAACCCACCGCAGGAAATGGAATAAAAATCTGTCTATTATTGAGGATGTGCTCGATGATGCTGAAGACAAGCAATTGATTGACCAAGCTGTAAAAGTATGGCTGGAGGGCCTCAGGGACTTGTTTTATGACTTGGAAGATATATTGGATGAGATTACCACTCAAGCCCTGATTCTAAAATTGGAAGGAGTTCAGGAAAGAACAAGCCTGTTATGGAAATTCATCCCCACATGCACCAGTTTATTGCCTGGTTCGATTGCATCCGATTATGGGATGATGTCCAAGATAAAAGAAATCTCAAACAGATTTGATGATATAGTGAAGCAAAGGACTGGTTTGAAGTTGATAAAGAATTTGGGGGGGCATTCTAACCTATGGACGGCAACAAGATTGCCTAGCACTTCCTTAGACGAGCCCGAAATTTATGGAAGAGACAAGGATAAAGAAGCTGTAAGTAAATTGCTGATTGGCGAAGGGGTGTGTCATGATGATGTTTGCTACATTCCCATCGTTGGGATGGGTGGGATTGGCAAAACGACTCTTGCCCGACTCGTCTATAACGATAGAGAAGTTAAAGCAAGCTTTCATGTGAGGACTTGGGTTTCTGTATCTGGAGAATTTGATGTGTTTACTATAACCAACAAAATTTACAGGTCAGTGACGGATGATTATGGCAAATTTGAGGACTTGAATATGCTTCAAGTCAGTCTGCAGCAGAAGTTGTCGAAGAGCAAGTTCCTTATTGTTCTCGATGATGTTTGGAATGAGGACTATGAAAAGTGGAACGTCCTATGCCGTCCTTTCCACATGGGGCAACCTGGAAGCCGAGTTATCATTACAACTCGTCTTGATCATGTTGCATCAAAGGTGGGGTCTGTTCCAGCTTACCATATGAATTTGTTGACTGATGGTGATTGCTTATCTCTTTTAGCTCATCATTCTAGAAGATCAATCTGTGATGATCCAGATTTAAGAGAAATTGGTATGGCAATAGCGAAGAAGTGTGAAGGCTTGCCTATAGCAGCAAAGGCACTTGGTGGCCTCCTACGTTCTAAGGAAAGAAAGGAAGAGTGGGTAGATGTGTTGAAGAGCAAGTTATGGGATTTACCAGAACAAAATAACATTCTTCCTGTTTTGAGATTAAGCTATCATCATCTGCCTTCACATTTGAAGCATTTGTTTGCTTATTGCTCCATATTTCCTAAGGGCTATGAGTTTGACAAGAATGAGCTGGTATTATTGTGGATTGGAGAAGGTTTTCTGCAACGGGCAAGAGGGCACAAAATGATGGAAGAGTTAGGCATTGAGTGTTTTAATGAACTATTTTCAAGATCCTTTTTCCAACGACTAAGTTGCACTGATTCACATTTTGTGATGCCTGGCTTTATGAATGACTTGTCTCAACTTGTTGCTGGAGGAATGTGCTATAGGCTAGATGAGAAAGTAGATACTAATCAGGAGAATAGAATACCAGAAAAAACTCGTCATGCTTCATTCCTTCGTCATGAATTTGAAGTTTTCACAAAATTCAGGGCAGTCAAACGAGTTCAAGGTTTGAGAACTTTCGTACCGATGCCTGTCCAAAATTCTCGCGTTTGGCCTCCTTTCTACTTATCAAACAAGATCTTACTTGAATTGCTTCCTGAGTTGCATCGCTTAAGAGTGCTATCCCTGAGCGGCTATTCCATCACTGAGCTTCCAAGCATCATCTGCAAGTTGATACATTTACGGTACCTCAATTTATCCGGTACCTCTATTGTTTCATTGCCCGACTCTATAGGTGATCTCTACAACTTGCACACTTTATCTTTAAGTAATTGTCGCTTTATCCGTCGGTTGCCCCCGGAAGTAGGAAATTTATCCTACCTACGCCATCTTGACATCTCTAACACAGATCAACTGAGGGAATTGCCGGTTGAAATCGGTAATTTGAAAAGCCTGAGGACGCTACCAAAACTTGTTGTCAGCAAAATTGGTGGCTTGGGACTGAGGGAATTGAGGAATCTTGAGCATTTGCAGGGGACCCTTGCTATTTCAGAATTGCAAAATGTGACGGACATCGAGGATGCAAAGGAGGCATGTTTAAGGCATAAGCAAGAACTTGATGAATTACAACTGGCATGGGGGAAAGATATTGACGTTTCTATCGATAGGAGTTTCGAAAAAGAAGTGCTAGACATGCTACAGCCTCATGAAAGCTTGAAAAATCTCAAGATTGAATTCTATAGAGGTAAAAACTTCCCAAGGTGGGTAGGGGATATATTATTTTGCAAATTATTGAGCATAAGCCTTGGCAGCTGTAGTGAATGTACATCTTTACCCCCATTTGGGCAACTGCCAATGCTCAAGCACCTGCGCATAGAAGGCATGCGTAAAGTCAAACACATTGGTGTTGAGTTTTGCGGTGCTGTGGCTGTCCCATTTCAACGACTCGAGAGTCTAAGATTTTACGACATGCCAGAATGGGAAACATGGTCCCGTTCTGCCAATGGTGAGGAATCCGAGAACCAGTTCCCTCATCTTACTCAGCTTACAATATTCAAATGCCCCGAGTTAACTAATGTTTCTCCATTGAAGCTTCCCATTCTTCGTGAGTTGGATCTTCAGGAATGCAATAATGTAGTGTTACGAAGTTTCAGTAATCTTAACAAGTTAACCTGCTTGAAAGTTGAGTCTGTTACAGGGCTGTCTCATCTACCGGGGGAACTTTTGCACTCCACTGAATCGCTTGAAGTTTTGGAGTGTTGTAATTGCAGGGAAATGCTTTCACTGTGGAAAAGGGGAGATACAGTAGAACATCTTGTCCGTCTAAGACGCCTCATCGTTGCTGACTGTTTGGAACTTGTATCCCTTTGTGAAGAGGAGCAACAGATGCCATGCAATCTTGAAGTTTTGGAGATATTTAGCTGTGCAAGTCTAATGTCCATTCCTAATATGAGCAACCTCAGAATCTTGAGAGAGTTTATCATCAAGAATTGCCAAAGACTTGTCAGCTTTCCAGAAAATGGCGTCCCTCCCAAGCTTCGACGCCTTGAGATATTTGGTTGCAATGCCTTTGAATCCCTGCCCAGTAGCTTCTCAAACCTTGAAAGGCTTGAGATTAAGGAATGCTCGTCTCTGAGGACATGTTTCGATGGTAACTTCCCTATCACCCTTCAGAAACTTTCAATCAAAACATGCAATCAACTTTCAGAGGTGATGCTTCCACCGAACGGTGAAATTTCACTGGAAGAGCTTACTATATCCAAGTGGCTGAATTCCGGCTCTATACTTCAGCATGTCAACAGCTTTTCACAAGTTTTTAAACTGTATCTATATTGTAATGGTCTAGACAACTTCCCGGATCAAGGGTTGCCACCAAACTTGAGAACGCTTTCCATTGAGCATTGTTCAAATCTCAAGTCCTTGCCAATGCAGATTCGAAACCTCACATCCCTCGTATCACTTGAGATACGTACTTGTCGCAAGCTTCAGAACTTTCCAAGATGTGATTTTCCCCCAAATTTATCTTCACTAAGTATCTGGGATTCTAGGAAACTCAAGCCTCTAGTATGGTGGGGTCTACACAGACTAACCTCTCTTCGAGAATTTTCTATCTGTGGCGGATTTCAAGAACTGGAGTTTCTTGGTGATGACGACGGTCTCTTTCCTCATTCTCTAAAAAAGTTTTCTATTGCAAGATTTCCAAAACTTACTTCGCTCTCTAAGGTTCTTGAAAATCTCTCTCTGCAACACCTATCGATCATGAATTGTGCCAGCCTTAATGATTTGCCCAGTGAAAACCTGCTTGAAAAGCTTTGGCATCTAGAAATAAGCAACTGTCCTCCTCTAAAACAACGGTGTCTCAAAGATGAAGGGGATTATTGGAACAAGATAGCTGGAATTCCTTGTGTGGAGTTAGATGGCACTTACATTTACAGACAGAGTTCGGGTTAAGTTGCAGAAACTTTTCCTCGTTTCAGGGCACCAGAGACCATATCTTTATGTAATCAGGTAAAAAAATTTCCAACAATGATTTTTTCATTATAATCCATTGAAAACCTGTCGTTGACATGATTCAAGCAGAATTAACAAGCATATTGCCCAAAAAATGAAGAACTTAAGTCCTGCTGTCCCTTTTAATTTACCTTCTGTTTATGTGCAGTTAACCAGCATTGTCTACAACTTTTTATTTATGGTAGACAAGTTCCCTGGACAATACAAAAAGAAAACATCAATTTCGATCAAGGGTGATTGAACTTTCAAGCTGGTGACACACAACTCTTTTGATTGTAAGCATTATCTTGTCACTGATGCTAGCTCTCAACACACTACCACATCAAGAAGTATGAAAGACTGTAGAAAGTTTTGAGTTTCTAAAATGTATTGATGGTGATTTCCTATATTTGCAGAGTACTTTCAAATTTTTATTCTGTACTTTCAAAGAAGTGCTCATCCAATTGTTGTACGGTAAAAGTGGTCACTGCGGGTTGTGGAACAAATTTTCTCCATGAATTGCAATGTGTGGTAAGTTGAATTTGCTGAGCTAATTGAAGAGATTTCCTAATGACTACAATCTGTTCCAAGATTGCAAAAAATGTAGCCTTAATGTCAAGAACCTGCCCTTCAGTTTCTTCTATTAGGAGAAAAGAGGCCCCCGTTTTTACTTCTACATATTGAAGTTTGATTTCAGGCTTAGATAACACTTTATCTTTAGCTCTGTGACATGTTTGGCCCGGCTTACTAAACTGTTTTGTTTTTGTTTTTTTATTTTTCGCAGCACGCATGCATTACTGCCCAAATAAGAACATAAAAAATGTACTAAGCAGGGCCTAGACGTGTTGTGATCGACCTATCAATGAACTAATTAAAAGTTCACATGAAGTGTGTTAGTTCAAAGGAGAATGCTCCGTTGCCAAATTGCAAGAAAAGAACTTTTATCTTAAAGCAGCCTCAGGATACAATGAATTAGACGAAAACAAATAGAAAGATGGAGGTTTTCAAGCTCAACTCCTTTAACAAATACTTATCAACACTTCTGCCTTCATCGTTGACATAGATATGGTTAAAACGAGTAAGAACACAAGAAAATAAAAATGAATCTTTACGAAAGTTCTGCGTTTTTATTCACGTGGCTTCTGGATTCCAGTCCAGCGTGCATAATCCACCCACCTGCAAAAGATAGAAAGTATAATCTACGTGGCTTCTGGATTCCAGTCCAGCGTGCATAATCCACCCACCTGCAAAAGATAGAAAGTATAATCTGAGAAGAAAACTAAAAGCCAAAAAAATTTTGAGAAAAAGAAAATCTAAACAATTAATGAGTTAAAGCACAAATTGACAAAATGACATGTTTATATGAAACAGGAAACGAGAAATGGAAAACTTCCATCAATGAACCCAGAAAAGTATTGCCAGTGCGAACAGCAAAACAGATTGCACTAAGTATGAGCTAATTATTGTGTAGCAAGGGTTCTAAAATTCGTTGTTCAATAACTCCAGCAAGGATTTGGTACCTATTGAAAGGAAATCAGATAAATAAACATGTAATGAATTGCAGCAGCATAGAATATGGCCGTAATATAGATATATTTTCCCGAATGTTCTCTTCATGATACAGAATGTCAAAAGGGTACCTAAGGTTGCTCGAAACAGCCATGTAGACACCATATGCAACGCTGGTTGATAATACTGGTACATCCTCGGCTTCACCAGCAAAAGACTTGTCAATAGCCTTTCGTGCGTTAATTAACAGATTGGTTACACCTGTGCCTACCTGCACATAAAATGATGCGAGGAAAAAAATCCTTAGAGATGCCACAAAATCAAGAAACTGTCAGGAAATAAGCTCAAGTTATAACATGATAATGTTGGTTAATGCAAGAAGAGACCAATGCATTTACTTGTCCTTGAAGAGGAAGTTGCAATTGCTTTTATTACTATTACTCCAGAAGTATCTTATTTCAAAACCATGAGTTAGCTATTATAGCAAATAATACATACCTTAAATGAATTAATGTGACAACCTGGGATGAATGTATGTTGATTCATATCTTTATCAAGCTATTTCAGGGAAATTAAAGAGGGTGTGGAAGGAAATAATGCAAAGAAATAATTTCCTAAAGTTGGGATTATTGAATGAATACATTGTGTAAAAGATCAAACTGTCAGATAAGAAGATATGAAATGAATTTTCATATTCGTATCATCGTTTCACGACACGCTGTAATGTGCAAGCCAGATTCATTACTTCTATCAATAGCTTCTCCACTGAGGTCCCAAGAGCCAATTTCACTTGCCCTTTTATATTTTGAGTTGCTTTCCCCCATGAAAATTAAAATCTCTAATAATGACGCTATTATTTTGTTTAGAGATTGTCTGAAACATCTTATCAATGCCTTCAATACGGTTGTTTTGTTGGCTTTTCAAATCATATTTTTGGATTATTGTGCTAATAATACTAATTGATATTTTTTGTAAATAAGATTGACTGAATTGTGAAGGGAAAAGGAAAGACGTGTTCTTGTCAGTTAAAGATCTCTAAGTTAACTTTTCAATTGGTACTTCAAAGAGGCACAACTGTCTTTTATAATGCGGGCTCAACAAACCATTCTTCCAAATCCCATCAATGCGGGACCTCGGTAAAAAGGATTGACTCCTTTTTGGAGATTGTCAAATGAATTGTATATGTTTCAAGTATACGAAAAAAACACTTGAGCAGCTAATTTGGTGTAAAAGACATGTAAAAAGGGCAGTGTACGAGCATAGTTCAGAGGTGTAAAGGATAGAAGTGAGGTTATCTCACGCCTTGTTGGCAGCCATAGTGTGGAGATTCGATTTCTGTGATATGAAATTGAACTCCTTGTAAGCGCAGTGTACATGTAACTCTTATTCTCTGACCTGATGTGGCACATCTTGCGATTTACCTCTCTCACAAAGTTCTAGGAGCGAAGCCGTGGGAACCCTCAAGGTTGGGGTTCAACCTTTTTTAAGAAATAAGGGATTCTTAAAAAAAAAAGCATTTTTTTAGTGTAAAAGAAATAAAGTTGACATATTTGTGGTCTGTTTTAGCCCCATTTCTTTTTGGAAATAATGCTTTATGGAATAGTTTTTATTTTTTATGTAGAATGTGATTAAGAAATATAAAAAAAATTTGGGTTTGCCTGTAATATTATTTTTTTGAAAAATGTGTGATTGAAAATGAGAGACAGAAAAATATATTTTTATCATTGAGATATAATGAGGTACGTGGAAGATCCATTATGGTATAGCTGTCAGTCAATTAAGCACATTTTATCACCGAGATATGATAAGTGCAAAAGTGTTGAGATTTGAAATCAAAATTAAAGACCAGTGCTCCATTTAAAACTAAATTAAATTTTAATGACTAAATTAAGACATATTGAAGTTCAGTATCCCAATTGAATTTTCGGTAAATATTTAGTTATCACATATGAAATTTACCCAAAATTTTTATGGCCATTGAGCTTTAGATTATTATTTAAACAAAACTTTGTTCTTTGATTTTAAAATCTTGTCTAATATGTCTCATAATCAACGTAGTTTCACAGTAATTATAATTAGTTCAACAAAAAAAAAAAAAAGATTTAAATTGAGTTTAAATGTGTGAATACTGAATATGGTTGTTTCGCGCGGGTAGTCGCTAACAATTAAAAAAGGGATCAGACGATTGTGTTAGGAAGAGACCTCTTGAGACAAAGTCCCAAAAATGAGTGTTTTATTGGCGATAATTTACAATTGGAAATAAACAGAATGTCTCCAAGGGGCGTAAACACACGAGTACTAAAAGAAGTGTTTAAATTTAAGCTAAAAAATTAAAATTACATATTCTCTGCTTGAGAGTGTTTGATTCGAGCCTTTTTCTTTATGTCTTCTCTTCCTTTTTATATTCCCTTGATGATTTCCTGGTGACAAACCGCTTGGAAACTATTTGATTGCTTTATAACTACCCACTTTTTTCTGGTGGCTAACTTGTCGTGGAACTGCCGTCTCTAACTACTGCCATTACTCTTTGTCGTTCAACCGCCTTCAACTGGGCCCCTTGAATCGTGGAATGTGATAAGATTACTCAATAACTGCTGTTCTGGATAACCATAATATTTTATGTTTGCTAAGATCTTGGGCGATTCGAAGGTTTGGGCGAGAACGGGGTCATCGCTCTGGGCGATCGAAAGACATTCCATTCGCTCAGATTCTAGGCGTCTTGCAAGCTTGGGTAATGATGTTACTGTGTTCGTGGGCTTCCACCATTCATCACTAATCCTGTTTGGACCTTTATCCTGGACTCCCCAATTGGGCTTCACTCTTTGGGCTATTTGATTTGGGCTGCACTTTTAATGTGTCAACAATTACCCTAATATGGCAGAATTAATACCAATTATTAATCTTTGCCATATTCACTTTGTATTTTCCAGCAACATTTGAAATTCCCAAGAATTTCAATCATTATTTCCTTCTATAACCTGAAAAGGTGCAACGTTACAAACCCTTATAAGCCCAAAAGACACGCCATTTCATCGCACCACTAAACCACGTCTCTATATTTCGCGCTTCCTCCTCACTATTTTATTGTTCATCTTCTTGCTTTTCTGCTACGTTTTTCAGGCAAATCTTAACAAAACTGTACTTTGCACCCAATGACGACTTCACAAAATCAATCTGATGATTCTTTTAGTTTCGAAGATTTTCAGAAAATCCTTACTAGGCCGTATGTAAATCCAAACTTCCTTGCACAAGCTAATGCTGACCTTAATGAATTCTATCTGGGTCCATCGTTCAATAATGTCGAAGTCGTTGGACAAGTGGCGGTGGACCATCTGTTCCCTTGCACTCAAGACCCTCCATTCCTGAACTCTCTGCCATTGAGGCCGATTTGCGAAAAATGTATTCGCACTTGGCCCAAAGCTGATGCTATTTTTCGTAGATGGCATGCACGTCTTGTGAATCATAGCCCTACCAAGGCGATTTTTAATCATGCTAGGATTTCAGACTTATTAGAAATCGCTCTTCAACCCCCAATTTTCGACCCAGTGTTTTTTCCGGTTGCTTTGAGTTTTTGGTCTTCTAAATATAATACCTTCGTTTTCCTTCTTGGTCCCATATCTATTACTTTAAGGAACGTTGGAGCCCTAGTAAATCTTCCGCCTTTGGGCGATACCATCTTTCCTGGTATCTTGATTTCCAGTGTTGGCTCGAAATTTGACAAGAAACTTACTGAGTCCTACTCAAGCATGTAAGGCTTTTATAATCATTCAAGCGCTGAACCTTCCCATACTGAGCGTGTGGCCTTTCTTCAAATTTGGCTCTGTAAATATGTTCTTTGTGTGTCAAGTATGAAATTTTCTATGAGCTACTTACCCATAGCGCATGGTAGGCCTTTGAACTTATGTTCCTTCTTTTTACCTGTCATTTATAGAGGCATGGCTTCCCTTCAATCTCAACTGAAGAATGGTGCATCTTCCACTGGCAGTGGGTCCCTTTGGTTTACTTAACTGTGGTTGAGAGCATACTTTCCACCACTTGGTGCTCCATCAATTTCCCTTCATTCTGCTAGCTACTATGGGCTAGCCATTGACCCATTGAACCCTGTAAATATGTCCAGTAAGGACATTTTTTCATTCTTTTATACCTTAAATTCGATTCCTTCCTTCTTTCCTTTTCCTGCTCACTTGACTCCAGATTAAGTGCAACCTCCATCCACCCTGGACAGTGTAAGTGTCTCTCTGCTTGTTTGGGTTCAGTTTTTGATTGGGAGGGAATTGTTCCACGATATTTTAACTGGAACCAATGCCAAGGCTGGGGTTGAAATATATGCTCCCTAATTTTTTGCTCGCCTTGGCCAAACTTGGCCTGTTCCTCCTTGCTACTCCAAAAATTTGACAGATCGTTTTCACACTATTAATAAGGCAGAAGCACAAGCTGTAGATGCTCGCAACATTCTTTTGACAAGCAAATTTTCATTAGTCCCTTTCAATTCTAGCTGTGCCGTCCATCATCTTTTTGAACAGCTCTGGCTATCAGTAAAACGCAGATTGTTTGCAACTGATGCTAATCGTACCTTCCATTTACTGGATCAGCCAGACACTTCCTCTACTTCTCCTATTTTGGTCACCCCCGTGTCCATTAGGAATCCTTCCTCCCCTGCTCACGCTAAACATCCTATCCGTCCATCTGCTTCTCCACCTGCCAAGGCTACTGCAGCTAAAGGTATCTTAATCCGCAAACAGCCAGTTTCAACATCTCCCATTTTGCGGGATGATAATGATGATGATATCGCTCCTCTCATCCTTAGGAGAAAGATAATTGAATTTGTTTATTCACAAACATACTTTTCTATGTACTAATGGTTTACCTGAATTTCTCAGAAAAGTTCAGCCTCTCCTTCAAAGGCTTTGGTTTTGACAACTCCTGCTTCATCATCTTCTGCTGAACTGTTTCGTCCAAATCAGCTGATGAAAGGACTATGCTTAAAGAGAAACCCTTAGTCCCGGAATTTTCATCACAACCAGTAGAAGGGCCACCTTCTTCCCAAGGCGCCGACTCCCCAAATGTCGAACCAGAAGGTAATATATATTTTGATGTTTTACCTTTGCTTGTGCTACTGGTTTCTGATTCGTTTTTTTTGAATTATGCAGAGGCTCCCATGGGCTTGCCTGTTGTGGCAGAGTCTTCTCGCCCAGATAAGGGGAAGTCCCCACAGGTGGTGGAGTCAACTGGTGATATGCCTGAACTTCCCAAA